TTATTTTTTTCTTCCGGAAAATATGAGTGAAATCACAGGTAAAAATCAGACCGATCGGATTTGAATCAGCACTTTCCAAAAAAATCCTTTTTCTTTAATTCCGGAAGTGAAAAACTAATTCTAATTTTATTCTGAATAATTCGGAAAAATCGGAAATTGGAATTAAAAAAAATAAAACCATTTTCCAAAAATCGGGAATTTTCGGATCGAAAACGGTGGAATTAAAAAAAAACATTTTTTTAGTCATGACCTAAAGTATAAAAATACATAATAATAATAATAATAATGAGGATATAATAAGTATAATTTTCGGGAAACAAATATTCGGAAAATTTTGAGTTATTTTCGGAAGTTATTAAAATCATATCGAAAATCGGAATCTAGAAATCGAGAAAATCAGAAAATCAGAAAATCGGAATTTTTGGAATTCAGAATTAAAGATATTTGTTCCGGGGTCACAAAATTTCGGATTGTAATCGAGAAATACTGAAAGTACATTTTCCTCATTTCAAAATCGTCGAATATCCGGACCTAACGACAATCTAATGCGTTCTTCTTCTTTTTTTTTCTCGTTTTTGGTGATCGAAATAAATAAATTATAGTGTGGGAAGTCTCGGAAAGCTACCGAATGAAATGGATGTATTAGGGCTAATAGTGAAAAACAGCACATTAATTGGAACAACAAATGGGATTAGAATCAAAACATATCCAGCTTCAGGTCCAAGCAGAGCTGCCGGAATGTTGTTTAAGAATATCATCATGCAAAATGTCAAGAACCCGATTATCATCGACCAAAACTACGGCTCCGATTCCACCAAGGTTTTCACTTTTTTTTTTCGATATTTGAATTTTTTTTTTTTCGTAAAAAAAAATTGAAATTAACTAATTGATTTTGGTTTTTTTGAATTTTAATTTTGGGGATATATCAGCCGTCGCTAGTGAGAATAAGCGACGTGATATACGATAATATACGAGGAACGACGATATCGCCGGTAGCGGTGAATATAGTGTGCAGCTCACAAGTGCCATGCCAAAATGTACACCTTCAGAATATAAATCTGCAGCTAAATGGGAATCAAAAAACTACTTCCACTTGTGCTAATGTCAAATTAGGCTATACTGGTCTTCAATTTCCACCACCTTGTTAATTTATTAGCTTGTACCTTTTTTATTTTATGCTTCACCTGCTTGTACCTTGTTTTATTTTTTTTAATTCTAAAAAAATGAATTTGTTTTATTTATTTTGATTATTTGGAAACTTAGAAAATAGGGAAGAAATTATTAATCAGAGCGTTGTTTGGCTCAATTATGATATGTCTGAAATTTGAGGATTTTTATTTTTTATTGTTTATATATTAGAATGTTGTTTTCTACCTTTTTTTTTTTGGTAGAGTAAATTCAAAAAAAAAAAAAAAAAAGGAAGAATAAATTGATTTTTAAATGGATTATTCAACTATTATTTTGATGCATTTTAATGCTCTGGATATATGCATGCAAAATTGCACATGAATTCGGAGATTCCATTTCGATTTCCACCCCAATGTAAGTTCCAAGGCGTTCCGGAATCGGAACAAATTTTTGCATTTCGTTTTTTTTTTAACAGAAATAGGAACCCATTTCTTACTTCCAAAATTTTCTGAAAAAAAAAATCATTTCCGATCCATTCCGTCCGATTTTCACCTCTAATTTTAATAGATTTAGTATTTCTATTTATTTATATTTTATTTTTGAATTTCGTTGTATCAAAACTGGATTCACTCGATTAAGGGTTACCCGAAATCGGGACCGATCAACGCTTTCAACTTCGACATTGTTCATCAGCCCAGCCAAAAAGCCCAACACCATCAGCCCAGCAAAAATCCATGCGACGTCGTTTTGTGGCAATTAGCCCCCACCAAACCAACTTCGACACATCAGCCCAGCAAAAAAGCCCAAACACTACGCCAATTTGAGGCTATGCTTATCTACCTTGA